TACTGCTACTGCTACTGCTACTGCTACCGCTACTGCTACTGCTACTGCTACTGCTACTGCTACTGTTACCGCTACCGCTACCGCTACTGCTACTACTACTACTACTGCTACTACTGCTACTGCTACTCCTACTACTACTACTACTACTACTACTACTACTGCTACTGCTACTCCTACTGCTATTACGACTACTTCGACTACGACTGCGACATACTACGATTACGACAACGACGACGACGACTACTACTACCCATACTACTACTACTACGACGACGACGACTACTACTACTACTCTACTACTACTACTACTACTACTACTACTACTACTACTACTACTAGTACTAGTACTACTACTAGTCTAACTAGTACTACTACTACTACTACTACTACTACTACTATTACTATTACTACTTCTGCTACTACTACTACTACTACTACTACTACTACTACTCCTACTCCTACTCCTACTCCTACTCCTACTGGTACCGCTACTGTTGTCAACATGGCGCTCGAAAAAGGGCGAAATTCCACCGAAGCTGAAGCACGAATTTGCGAAAACAACATTTCCAGAAAAAGGAATACTGGTCAGCGCTCACATGCCCATGATTTTGTGCTGGTTGTTTCGTCTGAACTGCCGAGGATGCAGTACAACTTTCAGTGGGTGAAGGCTGGTGCGAGTACATCTCTCATCAAAAAGAAATAACATGTGCAGGCAATGTGCGACAAGTTTCTGGCAGGAGTTGCAAATTCGAGAGGCCACTTACAAGCAGGATGCTTACTCTGACCATGGGGGCTGCAGAGATCTGCGCACTGTGCAACGGCCCGACAGTTTTATGTCCGAACCAAGTCACACTTTGCCACCCAGGTTTGTCACTTGTTCCGAGATTTGGGCGCTGTTCATGTCAGATGACATGCTTTACAGCTTCTCGGTTGGCAAGTGGCAAGTGGTGCAAACAGTGTTCGGCACGTGCGGGTGGTAAACCTGACATATCCGGAAGTGCAAAACTGCCAGGCGAGCCCAGAAACGGAACAGAGACTTCAGAAGAAAAGGCGAAGCGAGAGGATGCCAAGATGGGACCTCAGCAATGTCAGGTGTTTCGACGGCAGCTATAGCAAGAAGAACCGTGACAGATCTTGTCTCAGGGAGTGGGCCAACAGGCTCAAGTTTGTAAAGGAAAAGAAAAAGAAGGTGGAGCCTCGGATTCTGCATGCGTGGGTTTCTGCATTTGCAATGGCGTCTCGCCGAGGTTGTTATGACTTGGCTAGAATATGGAATGTCTGGAGTGGCTGTCAACCTATTTCGACCCGAACAGAAGCATGTCATGTTGCCACTAACTCTCCACATGCAGCAACTGGTGACGCAAAGCAGAACCAGAAACATGATCTGAACCGCACGCAGGAACGAGAGATTGCGCAGGAGCAGCAGCAGAAGGCGAAGGAAAAGAAGGCCCCACGAGAGCACTCGCACAGCATGTGAAAGCTTTGACTATTTAGGGAGCTCGCGCTAGCTAGCGGAAGAGGTTTGCAAGTATTGCGTCCAGCTCCAGCACCCTTAAGACTTAGATTTTTGAGCTATTTGTTAGTAGCTGCTCAATTATGTTGCACGACGGCATGGCCAGGCTTCATTATTAAAGGGGCTCCCCGCAGAGGCAAACAAGGGCCGGGTTGTGCCGCCATGACATTGAAGGGGCAACCGTGCCACAGCCCCAAGCAGCTGAAAGGAGTTGCTCATGATGCTGGCTCCAAAGGGTTTTTTTGGCGTTCCACACCAAGAGCATGGAGTGGGCGGAGAGGGGGCAAAAGGGAAGAAGGGGTCGGTGAATACTACTTCGATTCTAGTCTGGCATTCTGACCTTCACGGCGCTGGATTGCTGGCTGCTATTCAAGCTGCTAGTCGGAATCGCATGTATGGTTTTGCTTTTGACTGGGACATCGCTGCGTGTCTTGATTGTTTCGTTTTTTTTCAGGCTCACTCGCACAACCTGTGAATACAATGCTGCCTGTCAGCTTGCTGGCGATTTCGTCACGGGCCAGACAGTCGTGGCTACCCACGATATCTCCGTGCCCTCAGCCAGTGGATGGAACGTGCTGCGGAAACCTCGTGCATCATACAAATTCCTTGCACAAGGTACGTGGCAAGATCGCTGTGAAGAAGGGTTGGGAGGGTGTGGTGCTGTGAGCTCAGAGAATGCGGGACAACTGCGGGCAGTGCAAGCTGCGAAGTAAGCAGCGCGCGTATGCAGCCTACCCTCGAGGCAGGGACCTTCGCTGAATCATCCTCAAGAACGGCTTAACGTCCTTTTCAAGGCATCGAGCTCTCTCAAGCGTCTTCGATTGAGTCATTTAGGATTTGGCGCGATCAAAGTCTTGATCTAGCCCAGGAGAGGCGTGACAAGAAGCCGCAGCCTCAGCCAGCGAAGCCCTTCAAAGCCAATCGAAGCCGGTTCACACTGCCCTGCAAATGCTGTTGTGTTTTGATTGAATCCGCGGCTCGTGACGGGTTACGACTCATTTCTCTTTCTAGACAGGCTTGTGATACGGTAGGGTACGGAAGCACCGGCTGTAATGGACACAGATGTTTCAGGCTTTTGGATGCATCTTGTGTTGCGTGTCCGGGTAAAGGTGCACGTGGCCTCGCATCAGCCCCTTGTTGGTGCTATCAAGCTCTTGTAGACATGCGCAAACTCCGCCAGTTCTGTCGCAGGACCTTGTCCATCAATGTGCTTCCCTTCGAGGCACAAACTCCCGCTGCATCTGTGCTTAGATACGGGAACTTACAAGCTTTTGCAGGTGCGGCATCCCAAAGACGCGGATGATTGAAAATGCGGAAAAAGCCTTGCGTTTCTCCACCACTGAGCATCGTAAATTGAATGTCAGTTTGCCCAAGCTACGAGGCGTTTGACGGGTGCTTGGCGATTCGTGCGTTCGACTGATCGGATCTGAGCATGTCGAATTAAATCCCTTCATTTCGTGACCACGTCGGCGAGTGGTTCGAATTGCTTTTTTCCCTTGGTAGCACATCGACGCCTGCCATGGAGCATTATCGATCCAACTCAGGGTTTCCCTTCAATTTGTGAGGGATCCAGAGCGTCTTCATTGCGACCGTGCCGGATTGGATGAAATTACGGCGAAGATTGCTCGTTCGAGATTGTGATGAAGCACCCTAGCATCGTCATAGCGCCACGAAGGCAACAGAGGGAATGACCAGTCACTGACACGTCAACGTGGATGCGGCGACAGCAGCACAGAGCACACGGCGGTGCAACAGGCTAAGAAAACCCAACCCTAAGAATCGCAACAGCGGCACGGAGGGAGGCTGCAGCGCGCCAGGCGCACACAGGCCAAGTTCCTATCTTTATAAGACCTCATCGCCAAGTCGAGCGATCAGGAGGCCGAGGGGCATGTGGCAATCAATATGCCTCTGTGCACGCGACAATGCATAGCACCCAACCGCTCTTGGTAGTCACGCATGGTTGGCTGGTCCACCAGTCGGGCGGCTCGCCGTGATGCTGCTGGAGGCGCAGGCGCATCGCGAAAGCGCGGGCAGACCACCGTTCCGGTAGCGGCGAGAGGGAGTCTTGACTGCACCACCGCCAAGCATGGACTTGTCGGGCTCAGAAAGGCCGCGGTTCCACCTGGTGAACACGGGGTGGAATTGGACATCACTTCCGATGTCCGCACAACCCTCGGAGTCCACGTGGTGTTGATGCGCGAAAGTGCGCACACGTGAGCAGTGACACGGGGATCAGCATGGTGAAGAGCGGCGAGCCGCACGGCACGAAGGCCGCAAGAACCCGACATGCATCGCCAGGAGGCAAGACCAAGTGAAAAGCCAGCGGCGAACCGTAGAAGAGAGGCGGGGACGCAAGCCTGGTGCGGGGCTTGACGGCCGCACGCAAGCAGGCAAAGGCAGCGGCGAACACCGGCTTTCCAGTGACCGAGTCAGCCCAAGCGCGGCCTGCGCATCACCACGTGCAGGACGAGGAGCGCAAAGCCGCGAGAAACGCGGGAACGGCAGGAATGTAGCGAGCGGCCCAACTAAGGCGCCGCGAAACACAGGCCAGCAGGAAATGCTCACGAGTGATCGCGGTGCCCGGAGTGGGGGGGAGGGGGACCTGAATGCGCTTCGCCGAGCTTGCTCTACATAAGTGTCATTCACTTTGAGATTATGTGTCGAGTTTAAGTGTGCGCATGCTTCATTTGATGTCGTCCATCTTGTCTTTGTGGCTCAAGCCTTGGCAGTTGAGCCAAGACTGGAATCTTTGCGGGGTGACCGCTTGCTATGGCTCATGAAGCTGGGCTTACTGATGTGTATGGATATCATACTGACAGGCTTACCTTGGCCGTGCCGACTGCCATGCCTCCGGTTTTTGATCGCACGCTCGAAGTTGATGGAGCAATTCCCCCAGCACCAATCGCAGCCTGTGTGGAGCCCAACTGTGTTCGCTGTCAGAACCTTTGCCGCCGCGATATCTTGGTTGAACCGGGCATTTCTCCGCCTGAAGTTTGGGCCCGAGTCGAACGGTGCCAGGAGCGCTTCTCCATCGTCAGGGCTGTCGATCCCTGATATTCTCCCGAGCCATGTTAATCAGGTGGTTTGCAGGTTGCGAGGCACAGCCACCCCCACTTGGTCCAGGGACCCGGCAGCCGATGGTACCCCACTTCGTTCGGCCTGCACGTCCTGCGCGCAGCTTGCCTGGAGGATCTGCAAGTAGGGATTGCTCGGCGACCTGCTGTGATGAGTGCAAGATGGAGTGCAGGGTGCCCGTGAGCCGGGGAGTTCGGCTACGGAGGGAGTTGAGCCGGCACTTAAAACCCGTGGTGACGGGGGTCCTTTGGCTGGCCGGAATGCCAGTCGTGTTTTGCTTGGTGGGAGTGACCTGCCGAGTCGGGCTTGGTCCTCGCTCTCTCTCTCTCTCTGAGGTCCTGCGGGTGCTTGTGCCGTAGCCGCCGCCTGCTGCTGTCCTGCTGTCACACGCCTCAACAACTGCTTTCTCACCTCATCCTGCACAGCCTCGTATGTACGACCACCAGAACTGCCTTCCTGAGATCTCTCGCCGCGCCCCTGAGTCCCATACAGAAGTGGAGCTCGCCGTTCCATCCGCCTCAGTTGCTCTTGCTGCTCATGGCTCAACAGCGTTGGAGGGTTCCACCTCCCCAGGTCAGCCCCAGGATACCCTGTGACCCGTCTCGCAGTTTGCTTCGTGGCGAGCCCGTCGGCGGAGCTGCCACATATTGTAGACGGCTGACTCCTCATCTGGTGCATGCTGGCGCCGCCCTAGACATCATATTCCACGAAGCTTGCGCAGCGTTCATCTGGTTACACGATTTGCCACTCGCGTCCTTCAACTGACCTGGAGCGCTTCCAACTGCCCTTGAAGACTGCCGTCCACAGAATCCTGACCTGTAGCCGTTGCCACCGTCGTCGTCCTCACGGCCACACTTTGTTCTGCTTCCCGGTTACCAGCCACCAACGGCGGCGTGAGCATTGATCTGTGCATCTGGCACGGCAGTTGCGCCCGCGGTATTTGGGCTCACACCCTGTTGATGTGCAACCGCTGGGTTTACATCCGGGAGAGCAGCTGAGTAGTCGGGCTCCGACACGCTATCCATGGCACCATACATGCAGCGCGAAGGCAAACTTTCCTTGATTCACAGCACAACACCAAGATCACGACGGCTACCGGCAAGCTATGTCATCCTTGCTGCTCCGGGCCGACAGTGCGTAAGTGACCGCTTCTGCAAGATGAAGAGATGAGGCTGGGTCACGAGGAGCTCGGTGCGGCGCAGCATCTTGGGAAGATCGGCCCCACAAGCAGCCCCGAAGGCCTTGTCTAACAGGCTTCGATCCCAGATGGTGTCGCAGCTCGCGGGCGGTGAGGCGGCTTTCTCTCTGAAACCGATGCCAGGCACAGCTCCCGCCGCGACGGGATCCTATACGGCTGCGGGATGTTGCGGGTATCCAAGCGTCCTGCACATTATTTTTGGGAGTCTCCAGCGGGTGGCAAGTTATTCTTGTCGGTCAGAGTCGACGCCTGAGTCAGCCAGCAAGCTGATGGGAGCGACCCATCTGTGCTTCGGCAAGCTCTCAGCCAAGTCTTTCCCGGATTGAAAGGCCTGAGTCCGAAGATGAGGACAGGGAGTCTGATGATCCCGGGTTTCACATAGCAAGAAATTTTGCAGGCTGCCATGGTGCAGTCCTTCAAAGCGAAGCCTAGCGTCAGCGCGGCTTCAATAAGCGCCCCAGGTGCCTTCCGCTGCTGAGTTCCGGACTTGACAGCAGTGCACGTCGAAGCAAGAAACCGGGCTGACACGGAGAGCTTGCTGTAGTGCCAGTGCGCTGGATTGTGCTGCCTCCTCTCCTCGACTCTACTCTTGTCGTCTTTTGCTCGAAAGTGTTGCTCTACCACGGGGACGACTGAGGAGTCGAGAGCCTAGCCGCGTGAGTGGACGGGTTGTCCCTCAAGGAGTCTACCCTGCAGCCAAGAGCATGGTGTCAGCGGCATTAGTACCGAGGCGACCAGGACATTGCATCGAGCCTCAAGTCCTGGCAGCTTAATTTTGCATTAGAGCAGAAGCTCATTGATGAGACAGGGATTTCTCACCTTGAGGAGTTTCGGTTTCTCTTCGAAAATGAGGCCAGCATTGGTACTTGGGTCGGTAAGATGGGCTTGGGTGACCGACCAAACGATGATACAGACAGCACGCCCCCGGCGAGCCTGGAAAACTCGCACCTACTATTCCCAGGTCGAGCAGGATCGTTCGAAGGTTGTCCTCGCCGACTTCGACACCATGTTAGCCGCCTCTGAGCTCAGGAGCCCCAAGGAGACTTTCTGAGGACGGTAGAAGCTGAGGTTTCCAGTTGAGGTCCAGCCGTCCGACCCAGTGGCCCAGGATCAGCCATGAGCTTTCGAAGTGCTTCGGTCTTTATAAAAGGTGAGGTCGCTGCAGTTTCAGCTTTGCACGTCCCAGAAGATGAGGCGTCTTGCTGATGGGCTGTGCACGGAAGAGTCCGACACCGACGAGGTAGTGGCTCGGGACGTCGACACTTACCTGCCAAAGCTTCAAAATTTGATGACCCAGACCATGGCGGGGGCCGACCAGATTGAGAAGTCGCTGCGTGCCAGTACGTGTTGCTTTGTCGAAGTCCCGCTCGACTGTATGTTGGCCGTGCGCAAATCCACTTTGCAAGTGCCACTTGGGAAGAGGTTGTCATGGCTTCAACACCGAGACACTGAGGAGACAGCTGAGTGGGTATAGTGGTTCTCGCGTTTCCCGGAAAGGACCCGGACACTGGTTGTGAAGGAGGTCAGGTCATGGAAGCGCGTGATGCACACTGCCTGCCGCCTCGCTGCAGTCGCTTTTTGTTTCCGGGCCGGTCGTGGCAGGCAAACCCACAGCTAAAGTCATGAAGGATGTTGCGTCAAGCTCTGTCAGGATTTCCAACGAGGTGCGTGTGGGAACACGTGCCAAACCCGTGCCAAGCCCAAATCCAAGAGTTCTTGAAGGGGCTCAGGCCCAGCAGAGCAGACGGGGAAGTTGAGCTTGGGGGGGGTTGGTCCCCGAGCCGCAGAGGGGAATTTTTGAGGGCAAAAAAACGGGCAGGCCATGAAGTCTTTGTGTGGTTGGAGCTTCGTGTCGTATGGATGGGAGGCCCAGGATGTTGGTGACTCTGGCCAATTCGGACGGAGTATCAGGCAACGCTGCGTTCTCAGCTTTGCTGTCGTCGATGGTCAGGTTCGCTATCCCCTGGCGCTTGTAAATGAGATAGAGGCTCAACAGCAGCGAGGGGGGTGTCGACTCGGGAAGGCCCGACAGTCCTGAGATTCGACTCATGTGTCTTCATGGGACAACATATTGGAGATCGCCCAGTGGCCACGGGTATGATGCAGCGTGTGCATACGGCTGCTTCAGCAGCCTCTGCCTTAGCTGTGTCAGTGAGCTGGTGGGAAGCTCGGCTTGGTAAACCCACACTTCGAATCCACCGCTGGCCTTTTATCAGGGCGGTTGGCCGAAGGGAGCATTGGCTCACCCGGTGCCCACTGCCATTGTCCTGGGGCTCCGGGCAGTGCAGGACGTTTACTAGGCGACAGCGCCGCCGCGTTGACGACGTCGATCTCGAGGGCCGACGCTTGGCATGTGAGCCCAAAAGGCTGGATTCCTTGCCGGCCCCACCCATCCCTTTTTCGGAGACGGTCCCCTGTGCGTGTAGCTTCGCGACTGCATTGGGTAGAGGGTTCGAACAGAGGAAGGTTCGCGACTGTACCAGCTGCTAGGAGGCTCCATAGCACGCCTAGCTGAAGGTCGAACCGAATGTGTTACCAAAATGAGTTCACACAGGTTCTACAGAAGGACGCATGGCGAGGCAGTGCGAAAGGAAAGGGCGAGCCCAGCGACTGCAGGAGCCTAACTGCGATCTACAAATGAACAGTTGCCTGTTCCAGACTGCCATCCAATACACCCCGAAATAAATTCTACTTCCAGATGCCTGCCTGCAGCGGCAAGAATTATCAGGAGCAGAAAAGGCTTACGTGCTTGATACTCTCATCATTGTCATTGCAACATGTGGTCGAAGCTTGCGGTCTGCGCGGGTGTAGTTCGAATAAAATCAACACGCCATGTCCACTGCTGCAAGATGTGAAAGCTTTGAGGCTGTAGATGAATGCAGAGTGACAGCACCTAGACGATGATTCTCCGTCGGATTGCTTTGCCCTGATCAGCACTGTCATTTCGTCATGAAGCCCTCGGGGCGAAGCTAGTGTAGGCTGTTGTATGTAGGCTTATCTCTTCAGCACCGCACCGATGCCGTGCAATGTTGAAAGCAGCATGGACGATGAGGCATGCCAACGCACTTTCACGTGAGCATGGATCGTCGAGGTTTGCATATGCGCTGCCATGACAGTCCAGGTGTTACCTGGTGAGATTGAGTTTGTTGTACCTCTCTTGCTGCGCGGGCGGCGGAGTGAGCAACTTCACCGCAAGGCTTGGTTTATTCATTGTTGTTGCAAGCCGACTTGAAGAACTTCCTATTGTTTTGTCTCTCCCTCTCTCTGTTTGTCTTCATTGTGGGTTGAGAGTCTTCCGACTGGGCAGTGAGAAGGTGAGACAGTAGGCGTTTCGCCACGGCTCTTTTCTGTGCTGCGCTGCACATGTTTGGGGGGAGGGGCGAGAGAGCATGGCCTTGGGAAGCTGCTTCAAGGACAGCGCAAGCAAGGAGTCGGTTCGCCTGGGTATTGTGATGCCCGAGAAAAGATGCGGGAGTCGTGGGCCGAACTGATTTGGAAGACAGATGCAGGTCCAACAAGATACAGTATTAGGTACCATTTCATCGCCCACTGTGGAAGCACTCATGTGGAGGGAGTCGCAAAGTGACGAAGATGCAGAACGGGGTAGTCGCAGAACAGGAAGTTGGAAAGCTGAGCCAAAGTGCAGAGAGTGTCCCGCGTTCACGGGAAGCGGCTGCATGAGCTGAAGTTAGACCGAAATGACGTGGCCCGGGAAGCTAATTTTCGATCTTGAAGATCAGACAAATTATATTGCGGACAGGCAGCGCGCAGGATAAGTAATTTTTAGTTTGTATGCGGTCCAACGCATCGAACACGCGAACGAAGAAGCAACGAACACAAGATATACAAGAGCCCGCAGCATGAAGCCTGTCCCGCCGATCAGCGTTGCAATCTGACAGTCTGACAGACCTCAAGTGCTGAGGCAACGTTCAGTTTACGGACACTAATACTGGCGAGTACTCGTTGGCGGGTACGGTCTCTTGGGACCCACCTGCAGATGTATCTTTAGTTGGGAGCTATACTGTGTGGCTGGCACACGACAACTCGCAGGACGTGAGTTGAACTCAGATCTTGCTTGAACTTGAACGTGTGGCGGAGAGCCGTGGTTTCTCCTAAGTCTCTTGTCAGGACAACTATGCCCTGATCGAGTTTCTTGCATCGAAAGTTGTGGTGAACAGCTTATTGCCGGACCGGGGATTTCCAAAGCCTGTGGCTACAGTATTCATGTCATATTGTCGGTTTGCAGACCGAGTGCATGCAAGCGTGAGATGGGGACGGACGTGTCAATCGTAATGTGCAGCCATGGCGTCTTGGATCTGCCTCTGCCACACAGCCGATGGCTAGAGCTGCACTGACGATCATAGTTCAGGCAATCCAGCGCATGTGACAGAGGCAGCTCGCGCATGTATGGACAAAGTGCTCAAGGCAAAGTACGCGAGAAACAACAGTTCCGCGCGTTTGGGGGAAAGAATTGCCAGCGTGGGGCTTGAGACGAAGCCATTGACGCTCGCCGCCTTGATCATGCGCATAGTCCCTTTCAAGCCCCACCATCACTCCTTCGTCCACGACCTTGTTGTGGGTGGAGGTTCTGTTTTTGCTGTGTTTAGCGTGCAGGTGATTGCATGTTTGTCCTGCTGTGGTTGTGTTCTCGCTCGTCGGTCCGTCAGGGTCCCCCAGGACATCCGCGCATAAGGCACAAGGGCAGCATTGTCATTCTGTTTCTTGCTTGGCGATGGCTCCGGTGTAAGCCTCAACGATGAATGTGGCTTGTGTTGCAGCAAGTATTGCTTATATTGCTTGTAGTTTGTAGATGCTGCAACTGACGCTGTTACTACGTTCTGAATCGCAAAACCCCCGACTGCAAGTGTCGGGAAGTGGCTTCGATCACTTCACTGAAGTTCCAGGCCACAGAGTCCGAAACACAAAGAACGATTCCATCCCACGTTTCGACAACTACATACAAGAGCATTCAAAGAGGGGCACAGGATCAGAAAACATAGGAAGACCGAAACCCAGAAGAACGCAGCTATCAAATATTTTGACGGGCGTGGCAAGGCTGTTTGACATTTGAACTTGCGCCGCTCCATGCGAGCAGTGGCAGCAATGTCGCAGTGGCTCCTGCGAGTTGTTGGCAAGTGCTCATTGAGGAGATGGGAGGTTACTGTATTACTCCCTCCGAACACCTGCGTCAATCCACACATCATGAAGTCGTTGGGTGAGCGATGACGTCAGGGTAGGTTCACCAGCAAAGGGATGATGTGTACGAGTTATGGATTGCGTGCCTTATCGGACCACTTTGGCGATTTCCTCATGTTCACGGAAATTTAGGTCAGGTCTCAGTGCGTTGTATGCCGTGTCAGCTATCCAGGCGTTTGGTTTGTAGAACGCTGCCTGAAGATTAAAAGAAGGACCCACTAACGCTCAAATTGTTGCATCTGGGGCGAGGAGATAAGTGGTGCAGTGTTGCACTGGATGGCCTGTTTTTGTTTTTGCACTGACGGCAACACCATGGAGGATGTGCAGCGCTACCAAGTTACAGAGTTCAGTTGTTCGTGTACGGGACCAAGCAAGACCCAGGTTGGAGCAGTTCGGAACACTGGACTGGCGTTTGCAGCTCGGTTTCGGACAAAACTGCAGCAACTTTGACAAACCCGCGTCTGCAAGACTGATTTGTGATCCAAATTGCGCGCTTAACCATGCTTAACCTATGAGAAGTGATCACGACGCCGCTGCTCGCACGTCCTCAGGGTTCGGGGGAAGCAAACCCGACAAGTCAACAAGCCAGGGAATGAAGGAGTTCCGATTCGAACGGCCTGCTCAGTAGCCTCTGCCCGGGCCTGCAACACCGATACCTCTGGCTTCCCATTTCATGCATCGAACGTGGGAGCAATCCATCACAGCGTCGTTTGGCAGCATCACGAGCGCACAGCCCCAAGACCGGAGGATCCAAATCGATTCTACGTGCCCGTGGGTATCAACCAAGTAAGTTTATCGGCAGCCAACGCAGATCGCCTCGGTCTCAGTTATTCTTAGGATACCTTCGTAGTGCCTTGAAGAATGTTGGTGTGCGGCAGTCGGAACACTTTGACTGAGGTAGCTTGCAATTCGGATACAAGGCGCAGTGGGTCATCGTCCTGACCAACCGACCAGCCGCTTGGTTAAAGTTGCAGTATACAGAAAAGCATGCAGCCGTTTCAAGAAGCCTCGCAGAAATGGAGACTCGATGCTCGCTTCCAGGTTCCAAACATGACTGGAGCCCGCAGGCTTGCCTTACAGTCCTTACATTGCGCAAGAAGAGAGAGGTAAGCAAGCAGAGCCCAGCGAGCCAAAGGAGTCAAAGTTTCGGATCTGACAGAGGAAGGGAAGCGTGGCAACCACGAAGAGCCCCGGGCCAACGCAAGCCACCAAATCCCAGCCCAGTACCGATGACAGGAGTTTGAAGAGACCCGAAAAGAGAAGCGAGAATCCGATGAAGGACAGGAGAGGACGCACAATGTGAAGAAAATTCTGCAAGCCCACGAAAGCCCACAACCCACCCGGCACACGACTTAAGAAGTGCGCGCGGCCACCACCAAGCCGTCTGTGTGTGTGTGTGTGTGTGTGTGTCTGTGCGTGTGTGACTGTACATGTCTGTACTGCTCTCGTTCATGAACACAGGGGAGTCATGTCCCATTCTTAACGCAGGTGGGATGCGGAACAGCTCCGCCCGACGAAGCTCTCCTCCACACGCCAGGTAAACGTACCTGATCGTACCTTCACGTATCCGCTCTTGGCCCCGGCGTGGAGAGCTGGGTATACACTTTATCTTCGTTCACCTTTCATGTCATTTTCGTTTTGCATCATTCCTTTGCGTCTGACGTAGCGGGGCAGGTGCATATGCCATTCCTTGTGTCTGGCATACAGTACTCGGAAATCGTCTCATTTTCGTTAACACAATCCTCACCGACAGTGTGTGGGTGGTGGCTGGTGGGAGTGGGGGTGGGTGTGTGTGCGCCTTTGCGTGCGCGTGTGCGAGCGCATCTCGTTCTTGTGTGTCCTGTGCGTGTGCTGTGTCTGCATGTGTTTGTGTCGGTTCTCACGTGTCCTGTTTGTCTGCATGGTGTGCGGTGCAGGCGGGCGAGTGAAAGCTAAAACCAAAAACCCTGCACAATGACTCAAGGACGTGGGGCCCACAGAAGAGGTGTCGCCACGGACACGCCACGAAGTCTTCACATCCAACAACCAAGCTTAGTTTCAGGCAGGGGGTGTAGCAGTCGCCCCTCTGTCTGGATCTAGCTTTTTTTGACTGAATTTATCGCGATTAGTCGCGGCGTAGACTCACTCTCTCGGTTTTGCGGCCAGCTGAGGGAGTTTCTGCAGAGACCGCCTTCCAAGAAGCTGGTCTTGCAAATTGCCTCAGACCGCATCCAGTGTGTGGAATGGTCAGGGTATCATGCAGACTAGTAGGGCAAAATGGTACGATTCATGTCATGGCTAAGGTGGCGCTTTATGACACATCTAGCCGGACATTGGGTGGTGACATCGCGGATTCTCGATTGAAATAGGTCGCGGCTGCAGCTAGCAGTTAGCGACCGTGAAGTGGCGCTGCCCAGGTGGCGAGCGTTCAGTTCACGGACGACGACTTTCATGAAAATTCCATCGGAGGCACTGTGAGTTGGCAGCGTGGTGCTGCAACCACAGACTTTGGTGGTCTGCCCAAGTAAGCACACCTATTTCAAGCGGTTTCTTGCTTTTTCGCTCGAGCTGAAAATGAGCGGAACACCCTCGATGCCCTGCAATGAGGCTTTGTGTCGGAGTTCCAGCTGTACTTGGCAGAGGATGCTTTGGGGACCAACGAACGGATGATCGGCTCAGTGGGTGCGAGTCAGTCGTCCTACGAAATTACAAACGCCCCTAGGCATTATTCAGATCTCGCAACTGCAGCCACGCATGCGCCATGCTTCGCTGCTACAATGTTGGTTCATGTTGCAGCGGCAGCGCTTTCAATTGTGTGCTCACGTTCAAAGGGTACTGCTGCCACAGAGCGCTTTCTCTTTGTTTATGCCGCCAATCCGAACGGCCGGGCTACACAGGGCACGTTCACAGGCCGGACTAAGGATTCAGACATCTTGATTGAAAGGTGCCGAGATGCATTCATGTCAGAGTGCGGTTGCTCTGCAGGCTTTCCGGACTGGTGGGTGACGCTTGGCATAGCTGTGCCAGAAAAGCTAACAAAGATTGATGTGTGGGATGGCGACACAGTTCTTGTAACAGTCTTGCAATCAGCATGAAGCCAAGAGGCCATACATCCAAGGAGCACAACCACAACGATGTCCACTTCAACCACATCCTCCGTGACGCATACTTCTACTTCTACGAGCTCCAGCACGTCTTCCACAGCAACCTCGACCACATCCTCGTCTTCTTCAACAAGCACCACAAGCAGCACGACTTCGACATCATCCAGTACCACTACCTCTACCTCGACATCTTCCACATCATCGACAACCACCAGCACCAGCACCTCATCCACAAGCACATCATCCACGAGCAGCAGTACTTCATCAACTTCCTCGACCTCGTCGTCCTCGTCAAGCACTTCGTCCACATCCACGTCCAGTTCATCAACTTCAACCAGCAGCACCAGCACCTCATCTACGAGCAGTTCATCCACGAGCAGCAGCACGACAACGACGACAACAACGTCAACATCTTCGTCAAGCACGTCGTCCACTTCCACCTCAAGCTCATC